AGAGAGAGAGAGAGAGAGAGAGAGAGAGAGAGAGAGAGAGAGAGAGAGAGAGCGCGCCAGTATATAGCCCAGGCTAGCCTGCACCTCACTCACCTCCTTGTGCATCTGTCCCCAGAATTTGGATTAAAGGTACGCAACACCATGACGGGCTCTTATACTCTTTCATCAGTTGATACTGAATGCCAGAGGTACACCCTCAGCACAGCATAACAAAGCGGGGTGAACAGTAGGAGTACCTGACATTTTCCCCTAATAATTAATTTTCTTATAAAATTTTTTCGTGCGCTATATGTTGATCATTTCTTCTCCCCCAACTTCTCCCAGAATCTCCCCAATTTTTGTATTCTCATTCTTTTTCCCCAAAAAGTCAGTAAATAAATAATCAGAACAAACAAGCAAAAGACCAATAGAACAAAAACAAAATGAGACGGAAAATCCATTTAAAAGACATGGAATTTGTTTTGTGTTGGTACCTGCTCCTGGCCCAGGGGCCTGTCCTGGGTGTGGTTGATATTCCCCCCCCCCCGACATTCAACTCCATTGGAGAAAACTGATTTTTCCTTTCGTGGGTATAAATGGTTTTTCCTGGTGTTCGACCCCACATTGAGAACTGACTAACATGTGCCCTCGCTGTTCCTCCCCACAGTGCCCTGCCAGACCGTCCTAGATTACCTAAAGACAGTGCTGCTGCACCACAACCAGCTCCTGCCGCAGCCCGCGGACCAGCCCACCGAGGTAGGAGTTGCCTCTGGGAAGAGGGGCTTGCAGATGGAATTCCCTCAGGTGAAGCCTGCTTCCAGCTTCCAGTCTCTGTGGAGCGGATTGACTGACCAAGCACGTTGCTGACTGGGGGAGTTCGTGGGTCTGTTACTGTGGGCACGTATTCTGTGGATTTAATTTACAAAGGTTCGTCTGCACCTCAAAAGGAAGGGGGAACAGCACCTTCAATTGCAAAGGCGAGTCTTCCCCATTCCTTTGGAGCACAGAAGTGGGAAATGAAGATAACACCCATCATGCCTTCCGGTGGAGCCCTGCTCTCCTTGGGCCTGCTCTCCCTGGGGTTTCGACATTCTGTCCCAGACAATGCACACAAGCTGTTTTCTTTCTCAGAGCCACAGTAGAAGCAACCAGTCTCCCATGTATAGGACAGTGGGCTCCTGACGCTGGGGTGTTTGAACACACTACAGTTTCACAAATTTTCAAAGCTCAGACTTGATACGTTACTGCCTTTGCATTTTTAGACTTTTTTTGAGTCCCCCTTCCTCCCTTCTTTCATCTCAGCTTCCGAAGCACCCTCTGCAGCGTTTCCATGTCACGCCGCCACACAGCTCGTAAACTCCCCTCATCCCCATTAGCACTGTAGTGCCTCTGGGATTCTGCGAACCCTAGAATCTCAGTTCATGCTTTCCAAATGATGACTCATTTTTAAATGATTAAACATGTCTAAGAACTGTTTGTATGATCTCCTCTGTTTTCATTTCCTTCCCACCCTATAACCTCGCTACCCTCACCATTTCTGAGTGATCTGCAGGAAACCCCGCAGCTCACCCACCCCCACCTCCATGCCTCTCCTGGGTGTCTGGTCCAGGAGCCCTTTCCAAGCCCGATCCCTCCTTGTGTCAGCGCTGTCTCCTGGCCCCTGCCCTTCATGCTCATGACTTTCGTCCATTGTTCCTGGTTTGTTGCCTTCCGTCTTGTTCTCTACAGTCTCAGTTTATGGTGCCCTTCCTCCTCTACATCCTCACCTCCCCCTTCTCTGCCATTTGAAGGCTGAAAGGTCCCACTGCATCACTATTCACTGCCCGGGCTGTCTGGGGATGTCCACACCCTCTTCACTCTGCACAGACTGCTCCAGTACCCAGCCTGTCCTTGCACCCAGGTGGAGCTCCAGCCCCGGCACTGGGTTACTTCTTACTCCCAACCTTCCATGTTAGTTTTCCCCTTTCTGGTTACTCTTGGCGCCTCTTACCTCTCTCTTTGCACAAAACAAAGTTCTTTCTAAATTCAAGACCAAGCCTATATTAAAATCCGTAATTGAAGACTGTGTTTGTCTGAAACACACGTGAAATGTACTTTCTCTAGGAAGTGTCTCTGATTGTTCCTCCCTGCCTGTGGCTAACTGAAGTGCATAGTCCACCTTCCAAAATAGAAGGGGGGATGAGGAGGACAGTTTCGCTGAGAAAGTACAAGTGGGGTGCCCCAGCATCCACCTAGAAGGCCTGGTGTGCTTTATGGCACAGCAGAGGTGGGGCAGGCTTGCTAACCTGTCAGCCTGTGAGCTCCAGGTTCAGTGAGAGGCCCTGTCTCAAAAACAGAAGTGGTGCACATCTGTAAGGTTTTATAGGGAACCCCAGCATTGAACCCTGCCCTCCATGTGTCTAGGCATAAGAGTGCATTCATACCCCTCCCCAACAAATCAGTAAGGACAGAGGGAGGATTGCCTGTGTTCCTTGGATAGGGCTATTTAAACTTCATTGCCTGTCATCATCATTATTACTATACTATTTTTATTGTCATTTCAGGCACCTGAGAATTTTCTCATTTTTATTATTTATCACATTTTATTCCTTTTAACTATGCTAAAGCAGGATTATAACTCTCATCTATAACCCACAGGGCATCCTGAGTTATGTTTGGGGTTGTAAATTACTGGTTCTCTTTATTCTGTTTCTTGATGAAAATTACCTCCAAATGGTAATTCTGCATTTTATGAGACCCATGTTTTATGTTGATCCGCTGTGGTTTGGATTGCACAGGACTCTTCTAAGATTTTCTCAAAGATCTGAAAAATACCTGTCTTGGATTGCTAGCTCCCTAGTCACAGACACAGTTTAGGGGCACAACTCAGTATTAAGGGACGAACGGAAAATTCAGCCTTGCCCCATCCCACCCCACTTAAGAATTGTGACCCTTTGGAAAAGGGTACAGTGTCAGTGAACCAGCCATAGCTTTCCTTAGGTCAGCACCCCAGCCCCAGGGAAACAGGTATATAGGATGGTGATGATGCAGTAGTCTTGAGAAAATAAACAATTCCAGAAGTAGCTGTAAAGTTTTCTTCTAAGGTTGAGGATGAATGTGTTCACAGGAACGGAGCTGACTGTAAGGGGGAGTGTTTTGTTTTCATGTATGTATGGGGTCCGTGTGTTTTACACAGTCCCCTCAGACCCTGGAACGGGAATTACAAATGGTTCCGAGCTACCATGTGAATTGAACCCAGCCTTCTGGAAGAACGATCAGTATTCTTAACATTTGAGCCATCTCTCCAGTGCCAGGCCCCTCCCTGTCCTTTACCCCCACTGGAATTGTACTACCCGGGGCAGTGCCTTAGACTGCTCATTAATTGGCCAGTAAATAGTGCAGCCGTTATTAAAGGACTTCTGTAAAAAGTTTTTAAAAGGAATGGTTCTGAGCCAGTTTGGAGTCTACCCACCTCAAGTTCCACTGACTGCCTGGGTTGAAAGGTCATTCGGTGGAGATCCACTAAGCCCCTTCCTCTCTGTCCATGAGAAGCAGTGAGTTATTTTCCCTCCTGCATCAGCCATGAAGTTCAGGTAGGAATCTGTGTTGTACAGCCTGGCTCCCCATTCCTTCCTCCGTGCACTGCCCCAGACTGTACTCTCACACCTCCCTTAAGGGCCGCTGAAAGAACCTGTGAACCCTGGACCCCTGATTTCTTATCACACATGTGCACAAGGTCCCAGAGCCAAGGGCCGTGTATGCTGTCACCTGTTGACTACCTACAGCCACTCCAACAAGTTCAGGTAGCTTTCTCAAGTTAGTAGGACATAGAACCCAGGTCATTTTAAAGCTAACCCGTCTGTAAATTCAGTGCATAAATCATAACCACCACTTCTTTTCTTAAAGGAAACCATGTCCCAGCGTCCCCTTCAGGACAGTGCTGAAGAAAGGACTGCCTGTGTGTACTGTTGAGTGGCTGTGTCCTAATCCAATGCAGTCCTCGTGATCCTGCTGGCTTTCATACCAGTACCTTCCCCATGCTTAACTAAGCAAGCAGGTTTGAAATAAAACCCTGGCGGACCCAAACAGTGCCAGATTTATAACCTGTAGTAAATTTTCAGAGTTGTAAAACTGAATGAGTTTCCCTTTTTTAAATTTTGTACACCTTAATTACTGGGGAAGAAGTACATTAAAACTGAGATCATGGGTTAATTAATTTTTCCTGGACTGTAGAATTTTATGGACAGCCAGAACTAAAGTAATGGTAACGTGGGTGCAGTTGACTAAACATGGCTCATAAGTGTTGCAGAAGTCCCCGTAATTAGTCCCACTGCAGCTATTTAGCTTGGGAATTTTACAGCAGACATAAATTATGAAGTGAAAAGTAAGATTTTTGAGTTGACACATTGGTATTTGCAGAAGCTACAATTTGAGAAAAGCTGTTTTGCATTATTTTTTTTTTCTGTTCCCTCCTTTTAAACCCATTCTTTTCATGTTTTCACTGTTACACAATGACAGTCATGTGTTAGGTGCCTTAAACACAAGTAATGCCTATTAAAATAGACTGTCGGCAGCGTTTCTCAAGAACTTAACTGGCAGCCGGAGGATGAAGGGACCTGTTTGATCCCACTCTTCAAAGTCGTTTTTGCATATTTAATAGATTGAAAGGGAAAGTTACGGGTTATATTTAAAGAGTGTTCCCTGTCATTGGATCTTGACACATTTTAACCTACCTGTTAAAATGCGAGTCATAAATAGCTCCTCTTTCAAAGGTGTTCATTATACCTCATTGGCTCTTGTTATAGAAAATGCAAATGTAATTTGAAAAGTGCCCGTTCTGAGTGTGAGCAATTACTTGTGCTCTTCAATGCCCGGTTCATTGTCAGCGTAGCCACTTGGTTTAAAAGCGTGTTTGCCTTTGAAATGGAGATCATTTGGCTTCTGGCTGACTGGCTCAGTAGGTAATGAGAAAATATTTTCCTTTTCCAGGGAAGCAAGCAGCTGTTGAACAACTATCCTGTCTACATAACGAGCAAACAGTGGGACGAGGCTGTAAATTCTTCCAAGAAAGACGGGCGGCGGCTCCTCCGCTACCTCATCAGATTTGTTTTCACCACGGATGAGCTTAAGTACTCATGCGGCCTTGGGAAAAGGAAAAGGTCAGTTCAGTCAGGAGAGACAGGTCCCGAAAGACGCCCTCTGGATCCAGTTAAAGTCACGTGCCTCCGAGGTACTGCATCCTTCCCCTCAGTGTCCGCCATCCGTGATCCCATTTCACTGCATTGGCTGTGGCTCCCCACACAAGTGTTCAGCCGTTACTGTATTTTTATTTTTATTTTTTTCAATCTTTGCACCAAGACCTTCTAAGCTTCATGTGGCCCATCTACTTGGTATTGAAAAGCTCTGTGAACGATTCTTTGCTTTTGCCTCGTTTTCACATATTGGTACAAAGGCATCGCATAGCACCTCATGTTTCACGCTTTCAGTTCAGATTTTCTTTGCTGCCAGAGAAGGCCACCTTCAGCAAAACTGGAGCGTGGGGAGATATATACAGGGAGCGAAGATGGGCCGTTTTGTAGTTGGTAAAAAGGGTATCTTGCTTCCATGGGTCTCATCTGACTTGCTTCTTTAGATGCAAAGCATACCAGAAGTAGACTTTACCCATAAACCTTTTCAGGTTTTTTTGTTTTGTTTTGTTAGGAGAAAGGAAGGAAGGAAGGAAGGAAGGAAGGAAGGAAGGAAGGAAGGAAG